TAAAGGAGATTCTTCGTGGTCAAGAAAAGTACAGTGTGAACGAAGCCAGCGTGCTTGGGAGTCAACTTGCTTGGAGACTTTTGAATAAAAGGTTTTAAGGACACAGTATCATTTTAGACGAGACAGCGTACTCGTACCCTTGGTTTTGGAGCGTAGTGACATAATAAAAACTCACGGGAGTCATAAAAGTCAATTAAAGTCGTGTTTTGTGTTAATAAAAGAAACTGTGATCAAAGAACTTTGCATTTAAGAGACCAAGTTCCCAGAAAGATATACTTTGTTCTATTGAACTATTCTAAACCACACCTTATAATAAAAACCCAATTTTGAACGAAAACTCTTGAGACTTGAACCTAAGAAGACAAAAGTGGTATTTCTTAATACCAAAGGCCCTCGAACTCTTGCACCGAGATTGTGATAGTGTGTGTGTGTGTGTGTGTGAGTGAGTGTTAGGTGTTTAGGGTTTTCCCCCGACGCGCTTGATCCTTGTTTGCGTGTTTCGCACTTTCACGTTCATCCCCGTGCAAAGCATATCATCTGGAGCCCACCGCGAGGGTCTCCTTTTGTTTTTGATAAAGCAAAGACTTGAAAGTTTAGTGATCTACGGGATCATTTTATTTGAACGAAAGTTTAAATTAAAAACCGCTAGCGTTTGAAGCAATTTAAATACTAGTGCAGAGCCGTTCACCACGGCACCAAAAATCAGACAAACAGCGAATTCTATTAAAGCAGGGGAATCGTCAGGTTTACCACCTCCACCTAAACGAAAAGCTAAGCAACCTGCAACAGCAGTAGCGCAAAGGTTTCCGTTAAGAACAGAGACAGTATCCCAACCGCCTCCTCGCGTGACTCGTAGAAAAACTGTTAGGGCATCTGATAATATAAACCCGAACTCGTTAGCCCAAAGAAATATTACAAACATGCCAGATAATACCCAAGATGAAGCTCCTGCCACTGGAGGCAGAAGATCGTCTAGACCGATGCCATTGCCAGGCTCTCGAGGAGCCCCTAACTTTGACAAGGAAAAACCCATTGAAATGTTGAGATTCATTGAAATGTTGGATTCATTGACCAAATGGAGGACTTGTTCAAAGAGCATGGTATCGATGATGATCAAGAAAAGAAGAAACAGTTAGGAAGGTATACGGACCAGATGACGGAATTTGAATGGCGAGCATTTGACACGTTTGCTCCCGAAATTGAATACAAGGAGTTTAAACAGGCGTTGATCGATGACTATCCAGAGGCAAAGAATGCTGGAAAAGGAACACTAGCAAATTTGAGAAAAATTTGTAATGACCATCAGCGCATTGATATTGATGACATTGTTGCACTTAAAAGCCTCACTAGAGGTTTCCGGGCAGAACAAAAATTACTCTTGGTGCCACCTGCCTTGGTGAGCAACAGAGAATTGGTAGAACTGTT